CCAAATAATAGTATAAAAATTCCTTTAATGTATGAACAAGTAGGACTACATCAAACTGAAAAGCTCCTGTACAGCAAAGAATACCACCAATAGAACAAAAAGGTACCCTACAGTATGGGAGAATATATTCATAAGTGACAGATTCGATAAAGGGTTGACATCCAAAATATATAAAGGGCTCATGCACCTCAACAAACAAAAAGCAAATCATCCAATTAAAAAATGGAGAGAGGAGCTGAACAGATAGTTCTCCAAAGAAGAAATTCAGATGGCCAACAGATACATGAAAAGATGCTCCCCCATCACTAGTCATCAGAGAAACGCAAATTAAAACCACAATGAGATATCATCTCACACCAGTAAGGATCACCACCATCCAAAAGACAAACAATAACAAATGTTGGCGAGGATGTGGAGAAAGGGGAACCCTCCTACACTGCTGGTGGGAATGTAAACTAGTTCAACCATTGTGGAAAGCAGTATGGAGGTTCCTCAAAATACTCAAAATACAAATACCATTTGACCCAGGAATTCCACTCCTAGGAATTTATGCTAAGAATGCAGCAGCCCAGTTTGAAAAAGACAAATGCACCCCTTTGTTTATCACAGCACTATTCACAATAGCCAAGAGCTGGAAGCAACCTAAATGTCCATTAGTAGATAAATGAATAAAGAAGAGGTGGTACATATACACAGTGGAATATTATTCAGCCATAAGAAGAAAACAAATCCTACCATGTGCAACAGCATGGATGGAGCTAGAGGGTATTGTGCTCAGTGAAATAAGCCAGGTGGAGAAAGACAAGTACCAAATGATTTCACTCATCTGTGGAGTATAAGAACAAAGGAAAAATTGAATGAGCAAAACACCAGAAGACTCACAGAACCCAAGAATGGACTAACAGTTACCAAAGGGAAAAGGACTGGGGAGGACGGGTGGGAAGGGAGAGATAAGAGGGGAGAGAAAAAGAAAGGAGGCATTATGATTAGCATGTATAATGTGGGGGTGGGCACGGGGAGGGCTGTAAAACACAGACAAGACAAGTAGTGATTCTACAACATCTTACTACGGTGATTGACAATGACTGCAGTGGGGAATGTGGGGGGAACTTGGTGATGGGGGGAGTCTAGTAAACATAATGTTCCTCATGTAATTTTAGAGTAATGATATCAAAATTAAAAAAAAGAAGAAAAAGTACTCCTTCCATGAAAAGTTTCACTAAGCAATTGTATTTGTCAATAAATAATTTAGATACCTAGTCAGAATTAATACAAAATGTAATAGTGAAATTGTTTTTTTAAAGCAGATGTGCCTTCTTATTTTAAGTAGACAGAATATCTTATACTAGGCTTTAAAAATGCAGCCTGATGGAGATTCTTCTCCATTGTAACTCAGATATGTGACAGACACAGTCATGGCTTTTGAGAAATGTTCCTTTTGAAACAGTGTCTCTGTTCTGAAACCAAAGAAAGCATTATAAGCTGACACTGATGAAGTACATTTTTATTTTCAGAAATTTCATATAAATAAAATCAAAGTATACTTTAAAATATCAAAGTAAAATAAGCATGAAAGTATAGTAAAACACTAAGTAATTAAGACCAAGACTGATTAGAATTAATAACTGCTTGAATCAATAAAATATTTAAATACAAATATAATTACTTTCAAATAGAGATAGGACCTGGATGTAGGTTAGCTTGTGTTCTAGGAGAGATTCTGCTTTAAGCAATATAGCATGATCAGCAGCTCTGTCAGCCAGGGAATGCGGCCCTGATTTACCTCACCACAGAAATGCTTCCATTGGCACATATTCACTGTAAGCTTTAATACAGTTTACACATTCAAGTAAAAATTACCCTTGAAACTGTGTTTACTCTCTTAATTTGCTTCTTCAGGAATGTGTCAAATGAAATTTTTTAATTAGCCTATTTCTTAATTACCCCAAATTTCCAATAAAGGAAGATTGAATTAATGAGAAATTTGTCATCTTAAAAGTTGACTGTGTGTTTGGGGGTGGGAGGTACCTGAAAACCCAATTTTCCATTTCATTCGTAAATGTGAGTTAATTTTAAATTACTTTTAATCCATATAGAGAGAGATGAGAGTACTAGGATATGGAATTTTAATTCTGAAAGAAAATTCTCAAAATGGCAAGTTCTGATTAGTAACTCAGTCAAATCATAACGTGCTTCCACTTTGTCAGCATTCCCGCCACAGAATTCTTAGCTTTTCAGTTCTAGGAATGATTGCTGAGACTTATGACTGGCTTAATAACCTGGGACATTGACCTGAGACAATGTGAAACATAAATGAAATATTCTCCAATCATGTGGATTTGAAGATAACACATGCATTTTTCAGCTGCGGTTTGGCACTACTTGGGTAAAGTTTGGAAAAAATAGGTGAGGAGAAAGAAAAGTAAAGTGAAGGATGTACATCCTTTGGGAAGGAGGAGTGGTGGAGGATGGTGAGAGGGTAGAAATACAGGCAACTAAGCTTGTATTTACTTGGGCAACTAAGCACTGCTTCTGGGTTGGAAACCTCTGCTGTATCTTGAGTATAGCTGATTTCATAGAGTGCAACCTCCTGTTAGCCTTAAAAATGAAACAGTTATTTTACCAGCCAAAATACGGGTTTATTCGGGAATTGTAGAGAATCATAATTTGGGGCATGCAAGCTACAGCAAATCCACAGGCATGGTCCCAGAACAAAGAAGAGGACCACTCTTACTGAGGAAGGGAGCCGAGTTGGGAGCCTTGTTCTAAGCAAAACGTCCACTGGGGTAAACGAGTCTTCACATGTTGTAGGCTTTCATTGGCTCCGCGGGGAGGCGGAAGGTGGAAGCCTACTTCTGCAGGGAGTGAAGTGGCTGAAACAGTATGGCTTCCCTCTCTTCCGTGGTCTGCGAATTTTGAAGAGTGATGGGTGGGAGAGCTTCCCCGCTGGCCTCCCCGTGCCATGCTATTGAGCTTTCCTTTTACTGATTTTCACACTCCCAACCTGGCCAAATTGGCTTCCCATCTTCAACATTCTCTTATTGGAAAGAGTGTTTGATTTGAAAAGCCATGGCAGGCAGGGAACTTTTGGACCCTGAGTTCTGTTGGGAAAATTGAGGAAATTATGGTAATTCCCACTCTCCCTCTGGACAGTTAATGCTTCCAGGCAGTTCTTTGTTTTTAGTTTCTTGTCTTTTCTCCCACTGAGATGGTCTCAGATATTTTCAGTTTTTTTGTTGCGATTCTTTATCTTACTCATCTTCTCATTCTAAGTGTATGACTATCTTGTAAGTCATAGAAAAAAATTAATCTTATTTATTTTCCTTACCTACCCTTTCAGCCTGAGTAGCTTCACTCACCACTTTCTCCTCTAATCCTGACTCCCAAAGGAATTCTATCCCCCCTATTTTTGGAATTTGTTCATATCCTACACTTTGCCTCCTCCATCTTAAAAAAACAAGCCCCAAAAGACTAAGAGAATCTTCCCTCGATTTTGCTTCCACTTCAAACTACAGCTTTATCTCTCTTCTTTCGACACCAAAATTCATACACGATTTGTCTATATTTGCTCTTTCTAACTTTCTGATCTCTCCTTGCAAATTGACTTCTATCTCCACAACTCCTTAGAAAAGGCACTGGTTAGGATTACTAGTAACTTTATAATTGACAAATCCAGAACCTGTTCAGTTCTCCCCTTCCTTGACTTCTTTGTAACATTATTGATCATTTTTTTTTAGTTCTCTTCCTACCTTTTTAACTTCTCCTCCTCAGTTTCTCTCATTTCTTCTGCCTCTTCATCCTGACCCTTAAATGTTTCTGTTCATCTAGTATTTACTTGGTATCCTTAATCTAAATGTTCTCTCCCTGAGGTAGTCATGCATTCCACAGTGTCAATTACCAATATGCCATCAACTACCAATATGAAATCTATTTTCTCTGCATTCACCCCTCTTTTGAGCTGCATTTATGTTTTAGTGAGAGCAGCTTTGACATGTATGTGACTGTGGACAATTTACGTAAGTTTCTGAACTCTAAGTTTTTTTCATGGGTAAAATGTTTCTGTGAGATTAAATAATAAAATATTTCTTGTTCTAAATCATAAAGGCCAGTGGATTTTTTTTATTACTAGTAAATGTTTTGTTGAACAGTGAAGGTGAAAACCAGCTTTAGTGAGCATGAAGGGGTGGTTATTGAGGAAGCTGGAATGGAAAATGTCAAAGAGGGGAAGTATCACTTTTTGCTTAGAGCTGAACTAATGCTGTAGAATAAATACAGAGAATGATTATGCCAGTGACAAACATGAAGATCAGCAAAGATGAGAAGCAGAACTAGTCCCAAACTCAGCAATTTAAAATGCAGAGTTTAGTTCCATTTAAATATCAGTATACTCCAAATAAGAAGACATTGTTTTCACTTTCTATTGGTGAATTATGCATTTAGAAATATTAACCAAATAACATATTGTATATTGTCTATAAATAGCACATATTGAACTATGTTGAAAAAATACTTTTCTCTGTGATTTGCTTCACTGAACCTCAAATATTGTAAAAATTCATTTATTCATTGGTTAAACAGTCTCTTTTGCATATTGCTCCACTGGCACAGTTACATGGTGGTATGGATTATCATAAGATACAGATAGTTGCCTCAGGAAGCTTAAAAAGAAAGCTACATAACTAGATGTTCACATGATAGGCATGTGCAACAGGTAAGAAAGAAGATCATTTTGCTCAAAGCAATAAACAACATAACCCATGACTGGGGTTTGCCCTTCTTGGCCAAGTTGCTCTGACAACTCAGGAACGCTGATGACATACCTGTTGCTCTCTCAGTCAGTGTCCTAAGATAGTCTGTGGCTTAACTCAAGACTGGGATCTGCCATACTTTCTTCTTCCTTACCATCAAGTTCTCCTTTCTATATCTTGTTCCTATGGGACTTGTCTTGCTGCTTTACCAAACCATTCCCACTCCCCATACCTCATTTCATTACATTTTACCTTAGTTAGGCATGTTCCAGGATCTTTGAGCTAATCTGAGAATTTCAGGATCTGTGATTTGAACATTCTGATCTCAGGTCTCAGGACAATCCTAGGATTTAAAGATGTTGAATAAGATTAATGTATATTCTTGGACAGTGCCTTGATTAATAATAAAACTATTTGAAAGGTAATCTAGATTTTGAAGTTAGAGGTTAAAATGATTATCATTTCATTCGTTCTTAAAAGGTTTAAGAGTGAAATGGTGTATCTTCATGTGTTGATTAGCTAGATGTATTAATTAGATGTGATAAACAGTAAATCTTAGAGAAAAATTCGCATTTTACTCTTTAACAGGTATTGACTCTCTGGCATAGTTGAAACCTGCTCTGATGTAGAAGACTGATAAAAAATTAATCCAAGCTCCTTGTATTTTGGTCAAGACTTACTGTGCAGTACTTGTTCCCATGAACGAGCATCCTCTTCTAAAGGAAGGGCCAGTGTTTCCTTCCTTTCCAAGGCAACTGATTACAGTGACTGTTTCTATTTTGGTAAGATATATAAACACACTTCACTCACAGCAAAAAGCAAAACAGCGTGGTTGGTGATTCAGCAAAAATGAGGGTAGCTTTGGTCAGCGAAAAACAATTCAAGTCTCATTAGTTCTGTTTCCACTGACTCTGAAAAACATTGCTTCAAAGTTGCCTTAAGAAAAAAAATTAGACTGTTTATGAAACTCCCCTCAATTTCAAGCTTATGGTAGAATCATAGCAACAGTAATTCATAGGGAAGCTATTTTGTGGGAATGGGATAATCATTCAGTAATTGGTAAGGTATTGCCTTCCAGATAACATTCTCTGCCAACTTTGAGGTTTCTGTGTTTTGGACTACAGACTGTCAAAGTCAATATTTCATACATAAGAATAAAGAATGGAATGGCTTTTTAAGTTCCTTTCACTGGAAGCCTGCACACTTAGTCTGTGAACATGGTGATGTATTTGCTGTCTGAGCTTTTCTCTTATGTCAGGATATTAATGTATTTAAACTAAGGCAACCACATTTTGCTTCTCACCATCAAAATAGATAAAAGACTGATTTACCTGAGACAGGGTCAGGTAATGCTAGGATGGTAGATTTTCCATATTCACAAGAGTGTAAATATGCCTATTGTATATCCAGTCTAAGTGGAAGTGAGACATTTCACTGGAGGGATTTATTGGAAAATTATAGTTTGATTATTCATTCATTCAATAAATATGTATTGACCATTTACCATGTTGACACTGCCTTGACCTCACAAAGCATTCAGTCCAATGGCAAAGATTATCAAGTAAACAGGTATAACCAGGACAACATTTTGAAAATGCTCAACAGGTGTTACTTTAATTCCCATTAAGTCATGATGCTCTACAGCTCCCCACCATGTATGCACACAGATGGACCATACGATCCAAACATGGAATAAAAAGGTATTGTTATAAGGATGATTAAGAGCTGGGGGCTAAATAATGTTAAGCAAAAGCACAAACAAGTGTGAAATCCTGGATCCCAGTGAAAGCTTTTGAGGAACTGAAAATTCAGCATGTCTGGAGAAAGGAAGTGAAAAAAGATGAGAATGGAGAAGTAAGAGGAAGACAGATGATGTAATGCTTGATAAGCCATGCATTTGAGGAATTAAAAGGAGGCCATTGTGACTGGAACCATCATGGTTTTAACTTGCTTTTATCTGAGGCTAAAAATGTTCAATACCTTCTTACGTGCTTATTTACCATCCATATATCTTCTTCAGTGAAATGTCTATTCATGTCCATCCTGCTTTATATTTTAAACTATATCACTTTCTAACTTCAGTTGTAGATTTCTTTAAATTGGGAAATACATTGATACCATATAGAGATCATTCTTGATCTACTATGGGATTATAATTCAATAAACCCATTATAAATTAAAAACATAAGTCAAAAATGCATTTAATACACCAAACTATGGAATATCATAGCTTAGCCTCACCTACATTAAATGTGCTCAGAACACTTACATTATCCTACAGTTGGGCAAAATAATCTAACACAAAGCCTATTTTATAATACAGTGTTGAATAGCTCATGTAATTTATTAAATATTATACTGAAAGTGAAAAACAGAATGGTTATGTCGGTACAGAATGATTGTTAAAGTGTTTTGGGTGTTTCCCCTCCTGACCATGTAGCTGATCACTAACCTGGGAAAAGATATAAATTCAAAATTTGAAATATGATTTCTACTGAATGTGCATCACTTTTGCACCACCATAAAGTTGAAAAATTGTTAAGTCAAACCACCGGAAGTTGAGGATTGTCTGTTAAAGCTCTTTGTCATTATTTTATTTCATAAATGCCAACATATTTCCTGTAGATATAAGCTTTATATTTGTACTCATTTTTCACATGAGAGCTCAGCAACCATGAATCACAGAAATGGCTTCCAGAACACTCTTAAATTGTTTTTTAAATTGCATCAAATATTTGAGATCTTTAAGGATTCTAATAGTTTCACTTAGTTAATTGTTTCAATTAATAAATTAGGTCAGTAATGGAAAATAAATTTACATTTTTAAAATAACCTGAATTGTAGGGTGTATTGTACTCCTCATCAACAGCTATTTTCAGCCAGAAGGAAACTTCCAAGGAAAGACAGCAGGGTGTATAAGAAGGTGCTGAACCTATACTGGGGAGCTGGGCTCAGCAGGGCCTACAAGACAAGTACTGTTTACCAACCTTTGACATGTGGCTGTATCAGAGAGTGGCAATAGATAACTGACAGAGTGCCAAGAGAGGCTGGCTGGAGTCTCATGTTGGTCAGCCACAGAACAGATAAGCAGGACACCAATGGCTGGTGGAAGTCTCTGTACAGTGAGTGAAAAGGAGTGAGTGCTAATGTCTGTTGTAGAGAAAGCAGTGGTGCCCCAGGGCCACACCTGCCTAAGGGCAGGGATATTTCCAAGCCAGTGAGGACAGAGATGGGTAAGATGGACCAATGAGAGATGGTAGGAGGGAATAGGACACAGCTTTGTATCACTGTTTGGGGAAAGAAGTCTTTGAATGAGAGGGAAGTCCTAGATCTATATGGAGAAGTATTACATCTCTTTTCTTTCCTTCCAGACCATACCACTGAGAGTGACTGTTGGAACTATAAACCCTGGCATGGGGCTTGTCTGAAGTGAATAACTGAATAACCTGTTTGTTTTGTTTTTGATTTTGGGATCATCTCCATCCACATCAAACACTTTCTAAGGCTATAGTCTGGATAGGACCAATACCACCCCAAATTAAATGGAGGAAGGAATTCTAGACCAATAGACTAAGGGAGTGACTTATGAATTGAGGGGTGTGTAAAGTGTCCCCCAATATTTCCCTGCCTATCTTCCCCCTTAGCTACCACAACCTTTTACTTCTAATTTTCACAACCACATTTCTTTAACAAGTTAGCCCCATTAACCTTATTCCTTCTCATACTTTGGCCTGGCTTTTGTCCCCATCTGTCCTCTAATATAGATCTTGCTAATGATTTCCATGTCACTAAATCCAGTGAGCAATTTTTTCAGTCATCTCACTTAATCTTTAAGCAGCAATTTTTTTCTATAACTCCTAATGTCACTCTTACATTCTTACCTCTCTTTTTAGACTTCTCCTCCCCTATTGAGACTTTAAAAGTTGGAGACCCTCAAAACTTATTCTAAACCTTTTCCCTTAATCTACATCCACAGATATGGAACATCACCTATACCTCTTTTGAAGCCATCAAATTCTCTCCATTTAATCAGACCTATCGTGCTAAATTAAACTTACAGTTATTCACTCTTATCCACTGCTGCCAACTGACTCTCTACATGCTACTTTTAATAAGTACTCTTGTCACTTCTCTGCTTTTAGATAAAGACTGGCTCCTGCTTTCTTTTCCAGCTGCCACCAATCTCAGACTCTATTAACACATCCTCCTTTCAGTTCTTTCTGTCTCAGGGTCTTTGCTAAAGCAGTTCCCTCTGCCTGGTGTAGTTCTTTGCCATTCTCTCCACCCACCCCCAGCTTCATCTAGTTGGTGCTTAGTCATCATCCTTCATGTTTTAGCCCAAATTTTGCTTCCCAGGTCAGCTTCCTGAATAACATCAAAACAGATCAAGTCCATCTGTCACGTGTTTCAGATACTCCTGAACTCTTCCTTTCAAAGCTTTTCACTGTTTTTACGTATTTGGATGATTATTTGTATTATCTAATTAATTTGTGTCTCTCTCACTAGACTAATCTTTAGAAGAAGTACCTTGACTACTAGTCCTCTCTGTATCTCCTGAATCCAATACAAAGAATGAGTGAAGAAATCAACTAGTCATAATTGTTCAAGACTCTGAAAATTTTCCCTGGCCCCCAGGTCTCCACAGAGTAGTTCTTCCATAGCCAGAGGGCAGGGGGATCCTGGAATAGGTATACTGGCCTTGGAAGTGAGCATGGATTGTGATTGTCTCATTCTTAATTGTGCCGTGTCCAACTTCTGGTTGCTCCACTTTTCTGATTATTTAAATAGTTCCTGAAAGCTCTACTCAGCTAGGAAGTTGTCTCAGATTCTATTTTTCAAATGTCTTAAAATAACATTGGTATAGCATTTTATAATTTACAAAGTATATGCATTTCTATTACATCATTTGAATCCCCAAACACCCTCTGAAATAATATATATTTCTTAATTGAAAGACGTGGAAAATGAGACTTAGAGGGATTAAGTGACTAACTCAAATTCTCTTCGTTAATAAGGGACTGTGCAGGGACTTCATTCCAGATTTTCCAATACCAAGTTCCCTAGTTTACCACTGCTGGATAATAGCTGATTTTTCTTCACTCAGTCAAGTATGAATTTGCATTTTTATGGTTAACAATACTCCATAAATGATGTAGCTTGCACACAGCTTTATATATAGCATATATAACATATATTACAATGTATGTTTTACATACATATTTTATTTATATATATATATATGTATAATTTGGGGGAATACCTCCATCTGTATCAATCTTTCTAACACTGAGGAAGAGACATTTGACTTATATAGTTGTCTTTGTCAAATGGCCATTTTTGTTTTTTAATTATAATGTTCAGGGAATTGCTGAGCAGGTTTACAAAACAACAGGACATATCCTCAAATCTGTGGAATGACAGTTACTGCCCATCATTTCAACCATTATGTTTTTATTATACCACCACATCATATTTATATTATTTTGGGTTATCCAAAATACAAACCAATTATTAGATCGATAAGCTTTTATAACAGTTGGTTTGGCATCCTAAAGTGGGGCAAACTATACATTTTCCAGCAGAAGGAAAAGAAGAGCACACACTAATAATTCAGGGTTGCAGTTGCAGCCTTTTATTGCTGGTCCTTTAGTTGCACAAATATCTTGAATGTCCATTTCAGAATTCAAGGTTTGTTAGTCCTGAATAACAGAAAGTTGCTACTGCAAAACTGTGGTGAATAATTGCAGTGCAGGGAATCACTCTGAT